GAGGGGAGGCAGAGCTTCAGGAGAACACCTTGCTCTGCAGCCGCTTGTGTGTGCCTGGAGCTGCCTGGAAGAGGTTTCTTTGGGGAAGGAAGGGAAGAGGAAGAATTTCGAGTTCAGGAAGAAAATGCCTTTAAGAATATAGATTAGAGAACTGCAAGACTTCAGGTTGTCTCTTCGTGAGACCTTTTTGTGACTTTCATGAAAATAGCAACATTTTTGTGTATGTGCAACTGGCATTTGAGTGGTTTTCTCTCGTGGAGTACTTGCTTGTGTTTGCTGCAAGGCAGTGCTGGCTTGGAGTGTGGCTCCACTGCAGTGGCTGTGTTCTGGTGTGTTCTTTCCTCTGTTCTTTCTTCCTTCCTTTTTGGAATTCACTTGGTTTCTTTCCTTTGACTAGCATAGCGTATCGTCGTGTCATTCGTGTCTATCAGTATGAAGTTGGGGATGATCTATCTGGAAGGTTTTTTCCTCTTATATTTTCTTACCTCACTTTTGGTTTTCAAACGCACTTGTTAATTCCCAGGCTCGCTTTCCTTCCAACTAACTTTCACGGCTTAGAGATGCTTGGAGGTTTGTTTCCCTGTTGATTTTTTTCCATGGTTGTTCTCAGCTTCCTGCTCAGGGCTCTGGGCGTGCGCTTGGTCTCTTTAGACGTGCGTTGAGTCTGGGCCTTAACCCTGTGGTGAGAAACACCCAAATGTTTGGTGTACTTCCATTGCTCCTGAGTGATTCAGCACTTCAAATCCCCTTCTCAAGAAGCTCAAAAAAGCACGTCAGGAGGGTAGATTCCAGTGGGGATGAAAACCTGGTTTGAGATCTAGGTTACCTCAGAGCCAGAGGAGAGGACAGCCCACGTGTGTGTCACTCACTGTGAGCTCTCACCGTACGTGTTGGAAGGACAGAGATTCCCAAACACAGCTGCTTAGAGATTGCTTGGGATCTTGGGAGGGGAAAGCAGCATCCCGAGACTGTCCATAGCTAGTCTGTGTGAGGGAGAACCTGGGAGACCACGGGCACAGTGATGAGCTGCATGTGCTGTGTTGGGGGCTCAGTGCCTAAAGCTCAGGGTGGAAATCACTGAGGAGAGTGGCTGTGCCTCAGCTTCTCTGGGTGCAGTGTGGGAGAGGTGTGGAGGGAAAGGCACCTGGTCCACCAGCCACTGCTGAGCAGCACAAGCTCTGTAGCTCTCTGCAGGAACAATGCCACGTTAAGATGACTTGTAAACCAAACCAGTAGTTCTCACCATCCCCATTTTACCCCCTGTAACACACCTCTGCAGAGCTCCTGTTCCTGACTGGCAGGTACAGCCCATCTCCAGTGACTCACCTGCAGTGGGGTGTGTGTGTGTGTGTGCTGGGCACGGGGCAGGGGGGGACTGCACTAAGTTCTAATTCTATGAGGTCCAGCAAAGTGGGTGCTTTGAGTCTGGCATGAAGTGTGGCTGCTGATCACTTTGCCTTTCAAATGGGGCTAGAAATTAACTACAGACAGAAATGTGCACATCAGTCTCAAACAGGATGGGTCTCAGAACAAACAAAATGCAAAACCAGTGTTTAAATACCTCCAGGAGAACAATCCTGCTGTAAGGATTTTTCATTTCAAGGAAGGACTGTTAATTTCAAGCCCCACGTACCATTTTTTGTGGGGTAAGTGCATCCTCTCACTGTGGCTCTGTGTTTAGGTCGTGCATGGTGGAGGAATCAGGAACGCTGGAGTCGCAGCTGGAAGCTACTAAAGTAAGCAATGTGGACTCGTGGCTATAGCAGCATTCCCAGCTGAGTGTGGGAACACAGGGTGGGCAGGGAAATGCATGAATTAGAGGGTAAAATATTAATTGATGTTAGACATTTTGAGTACTGAAGAGACTTCTAAGATTCTCTGTTTACATCACAGTCAAACAACACTGATTTTCACAAAGTTTTCCTCTTTGCTCCCTTTTCCTGAAGGAGCAGGGTAGGGCAGAGAGGATATACAGTATTTTCAACACTCTTACCTCCTAATAAGAGGGGTTTTTGACTCCAGAACTGACTTCCAAGTCCTGTTGGTTTCTAGTAGGGAGCATGAAGGGGAACGTGGTTTTGAATCTTACTTTCCAAACCCCAATATATGTACATGAATCTAACCCGTGTTATTTTTAAGGTAGTTTTTTGGGTGCTTCACGATTTTCCTCCTCTCCCTCCTCACAGCGCAAGCACCAAGAGATCCGAGCTATGAGGAGCCAGCTGAAGAAGATTGAGGACCTTGGAGCAGCCATGGAAGAGGCACTTATCTTGGACAACAAATACACAGAGCACAGCACTGTGGGGCTGGCACAGCAGTGGGACCAGCTGGATCAGCTGGGAATGAGGATGCAGCACAACCTGGAACAGCAGATCCAAGCCAGGTACTGCCCAGCCCACGTGTGGGTTGGGGTGAGGGAAGAGACAGGAGCCACAGCTGCCTGTGCCTGCAGCCAGACCTTGTGTGGTCTCCTCTGCTCGGACTAAGGAATGTAATGAGCTTGTACATCCCCAGCACCTCCTGGTTCCCTGGAGAGGGATGAAGTTAGCAGTTTTGGAATAGTTCCTGTTGGCCATGAGCAATGGCAAGAGCTTAGCAGAATGGATTTATTCCATGGAACTGTGGGAAGTGTGTGCAAGTGTCACCACATGGAATGACTGTTTGCTCCTTTGTCCTCCCTGTGAGGTGCAGCCCCTGGGTGAGAATACATGAGCTCAGCAGAGTTCACAGCTTAGGAACTGTTCACCAGCTTCCCTGCTTTTTTTTTCAGGAACACCACTGGAGTCACTGAGGAGGCCCTGAAGGAGTTCAGCATGATGTTCAAGTGAGTTGCAGGGAACACGTGCCAGAGGAATGTTTGGGAGGCATTTCTGGCATGGCGATGGCTCTGGTTTGCAGGATGCTCTGGCTGTTTGTGACTCCTTTACTGTCTCCTGTGCTGAGCTGCTCTGAGCTCTGCCAGAGGGCAACAGCCTCCAGCCCCTGCTGCTGGCAGGGCACAGCCACAGCCACCCTAGAGCCTCTCCTGGGGGCAAAGTGCTGTAACAACTGGGAGTACCAATGCATTCCAGCTGGGAATACAGCCTCTTTTGGGATGCTTCTTAAGCAAAGTAAAAGAATTTGTGCTTACTATGCGCATTAGACAGAACTATTTATTGGCTCAAGCTCATTTGTCCAGAAGATGTGCTCATTATAATCTGTTCTAGTTTGGAGAACTCAACAAGTGACACTTAACATGGGCTCTGGTTTTATGCTTTTAGGCACTTTGACAAGGACAAATCTGGACGACTTAACCACCAGGAGTTTAAGTCTTGCTTGCGCTCTCTCGGCTATGACCTGCCCATGGTTGAGGAAGGAGAACCAGACCCTGAGTTTGAGTCTATTCTTGACACTGTAGACCCCAACAGGTATGTGGGTTGGACCTTTCTGTGTGGGTGTCACTGGGGAGTTGGCTCTGATAGGTCCCTCACAGAGCTGTGCTTGCTTCTGCTTGGGGAGGCTATAGTGGTTTTCACATCTCCTGAAAGTCTTTGTGAAGGTGAGACTGACACTTGTGAAGGAGAAACTCGCTTGAGAAAATCATCTGGTGTTGAATTTCCTGTGTTAAGACTTTCGCTGCTCCCAGAGCAGTTCCACCCCTCTGCAGAGGGCCTGGGGACACCATGCTGCAGGTGCTGATGTGCTGTGTCTGTCTGGCAGGGACGGCCACGTGTCGCTGCAGGAGTACATGGCCTTCATGATCAGCCGGGAAACGGAGAACGTGAAATCCAGTGAGGAGATCGAGAGCGCGTTCCGCGCCCTCAGCTCCGAGGGGAAGCCCTATGTGACCAAGGAGGAGCTGTACCAGGTAGGTACTGGTTGTGGCCCCTGGGGAGGAGCAGACAAGACTTTACGGATTGCTAACAAAGCCCAGGACTAATGGTTTGGTGGCTCCTGTCACTGGAGCTGAGCCAGTTCTGACCCTGCCAGGGCAATCTCTGCAGCAAACGCAGAAATTGCAGTAACAGCTTGACTCAGTTGCTCTCTTGGCTCTATAGAGGAAGAGGAAAAGCTTTAACTGCTAAACAACTGCTCACATAGAGGATAACAAGAGCTACTCAAAGGCTCAGGAAGAGAATGTGCTGTCCTTAGAAGCCAAAGCTTCCCTTTCATCACTTGGGAGACTAGAGGGAGATGTTTTTCCAGACAGCAATTCAAAGGAAAAGCTTTAGCCTAAGCTTAGACAGTATGAACATCTCCTCCCTCGCCCTGCCCTGCCAAGACAGCAAGTTTTTCCTGTCTGAATCCCACCAGCTGGCAGAGAGATAAAGAGGTTGCACTGCTTCCTCATGTTGGTTACCTGTTCTGTCTTCAGTGGGAAGTTTCTGGTCAGGCCTTCCACCCCTTAGCCAAACCATGCCAGCAGCCTGAGCATTTCCATGCTGGGTGGAGCTGTGCCTGCAGAAGCCCCAGAGCCTGTCTCCAGCTCTGTGCTGTCTCTTTCAGAACCTGACCCGGGAACAGGCTGATTACTGCATCTCTCACATGAAGCCCTACATGGACGGCAAGGGCCGAGAATTGCCTTCTGCCTACGACTACATAGAATTCACACGTTCACTCTTTGTGAATTGATCTGGAACACTAGTACCAAAAGTTGCAAAGGACATGCTCACGTTTGCTGACTGTAGCTCTGCATGTGTCTCTCTCTTTCTCTCTTCTCCTCTCTCTCTCTCTCTCTCTCTCTCTCTCTCTCTCGTTGTGCTCTACAATAATCAGTGTTACTTTATGATGTAACCTTAAATTGCTTAGCTTAAAAACTCTTAGGGAAAAGAAACATGTTGCAGTGTGCTTCAATAAAAGTTACTGGTCGAACCACATCACCTCGTGTTTAATGGTTCAGTGCAGATTTAACTGTTCCATGGGTGTAACTCCAGCTGGGGGTTACCTGTGTTTTCCAGGCCAGCACTGGAACAGGTGAGTCAGGACACTAACAAACCTCATGCAGTTTTTGTGCTGCTGCTTTAGTCCATGCTCTCACTCGCCAGCTGCTCCAGGTGATTCACCTCCCTGGGTCCCTGCTCAGTGAACTCAGAGCTCAGCTGCCAGACCTTGACAGTTCCAGCAGCATCCCCTGCTGCCAGGAGCTGTGTTTGCTTGATGTTGAACTCCAGGCAGTACACGGGGCAGTTGCCTGCTGCCTGCCTCAGGGACACCGTGGGCTTCTGTGAGCTCCTGGCCAGGTCCAGCAGGTGCAGCTCTCCTACAGACACAGACACTGATGGCAGTGCAGGTTGTATTGAACAGCTGGTGAGTATCTGCTTGATCTGGAACTTAGAACTGCTTTTTAAGCTGTTTCCCTCCCTGCTGACTGCCACAGAGAGCTGACATCACTGCAGGACAGCATGGATTTACTCTGCTGTCAGACCTGAAACCAGCTCTCCAAACTCTGTGACATCTCCATTCTGTAACTGAGAAATTTTAGGGCAGTTTTCTACGGAAAAAGTTCTTGTTTTAATCCATTAGTTCTGAAAGTAAATGCCAGAAACAAATATGGAATAAGTTTTGGCCTGTTGCCCTGTGAGTGACTGTGGCAGCAGATGTAAAGGTACCATCAAAAGTGAAAAAACTGACTGGCCTTGATAAAGTAGAAATTACTCCATTGTACTAATTACACAGTGCAAACAACAGTCTCTGCTCTCTGCCTGTAGGAGCTGCTTTTCAGTGCAATTGACTTGTACTAATTAGTACCCAGCACACTGAGTTTTGTGCCCAAGAGAAGCACCTGCAGGTACTTACCTTCCCCAGAGGCAGCTGCAAAGACCAGAGGTCGAACTGGAGACCAGCGCACACAGAACAGGTATTTCTTGGACAGCTGCAGAGCCAAGAGGGGCTGTGCCTGCAGCATGGAGTGCAGGTGAACTTGCCCATCAGTCCCACAGCTCAGAAAGAGGTTCCTGGGGGAGGGAGGAAGCAAGAAACAACTTTTATGTTTTTGTTTTATTGCTAAAGATAGAGGAAAAAAAATCAGTCAAGGATTGTGACCTCGGACAATATTCCTGCTCTGGTAAGGTCTGAGTGTGTCTCCTAATGCGGTGAATGCCAAGCTGTGCCCTGAGCTGGAGAGATGCAGCTTTGTTACTGCCCTCAATTAAGCTTAATGAGGGCTTGTGTTGACCACTGAGAGTTGCTGGTGGGTTGTGGGCCAGGGATGCCTGAGAACTGCTGATCTAGAGCTGAGCATTGTTAGAGCTGGTCTTGTCTCATGCAAATTAAATGCAAACCTGGGCTGTCAGCATGTTCCACAGAAACGTGGCTTGGGGCCTCCCTGGATGGTGGGTGAGCTGCTGGCACAGACAGAGCTGCTCATTTAAATTCTGCCAGCCACTAGGAAGATTTTTGATGGGCAGATCACTTCAGCACTGACAAGGGAAGGACTTTTTCAGCTCCACCCCTTGTCTTTAAACTGATCTGTAATACTAACATCCAGGATGATCTAGGGAAGGTGCTAACATTGCTCATGTGCCCACATGCAGTTGGCAACTCCACCAGAGCCAGTGGACATTTTCTCCTCAAGTTTCCAATGCTAGGTGACCCTTGCTAGGAATTTGTACACCCCTCCCCACAAGTGTCTAGAAAACGTGTGTTTAGAGCCAGGCACTACCAGTGTCCAAGGTGCAGCACTTGCCTGTGGAAGGGGGAGCAGCTGACAGAGTACACGGGTCCAGCGTGTGGGGAGAAGGCAAACTCAGCCGGCGCCCGGAGCGGAACGGAGCTGCCTGTGCCATGGACAGCCACAGCCTGGGCTGCAGTGGAGCATCTCAGGGAACAGCCTCCTTCCACACCCACCACGAACACACGGGGGTCAAAGTGTGAGAAAGAGAGGGAGGTCACCCCCACAGCTGCCTCTCCCCAGGCCAACTGGAGAAAGAGAGACAGAGCAGGTGTCAGAGCAGCAGGGAGAGCCCTGACAGGATCCCCGTGGGCTGCTCACTGCTCAGCCTTTAGCCTCTGCAGCATCTTCCTGCAAAGGGATTCATATATATCATCACAAGTAACTTTCCCATCCTGGCAGCTTCTCTTTAGAGCATGGCAAACCTCAGCTGTTACCACTTCTAACAGTGATTCCAGTTGTGGAAGGGAGAGGGGAATTAAGAGTTAGTATGTTCAAAAGGGGCTGTTCCTGCCCCTGCTCATGTGCAGGGTGAGCTCTGACATGTGGCTCCAGGGTTAAAGTGGTTTTGTAGAATCAGCCTTCTCTGAGCTGCTGAACTCACCTTCTTCAGCCGAGTGCTGCCACGGCTCTGCTGAGCCACCATGGCAAACCCTTCGTCCAAGCCCAGCCGACCGTCCCGCTCCTCCCTCCACACCAGGATCTTCCCATCTGTTGACACACTCAGCAGTCTGGAGTGGGTTCTGTGCTTGGGGTCAGGTAACCAGTTAACCTGTTCCAAAAACCATGAGCTCAGGACAAGGGGCACTGTGACAACTATGCAGTCCACAGTGCCTGGACCCGCCGGGATGCCACGGGAGCAGCCACTGAGCCCGTGCCAAACCAGCTCCTGCTGGCAGCTGGCACAGACATGGATGTGAGGAGAGAAATGCACCCAGGTAGGTGTTCAGGGCTGAGCTCTCAGTTGCAGTTGCTGTGGTTTACCTGTCCTTGTGTTTGGCACAGAGTGTTTATAGTACCCAGCTACAACCAGCAGCATTTTCCTGACTTTCAGATGCACAGATTGCCCAGAGGCACAGGGTCCCAGAAGGACAAATCCTTAGGAAGTCAGACTGCAAGACATGCTTGTACATCCCCTCAGAGCCTGCAGCTTTAAGCTCCCAACCAAGGACCAGTCTTGTGTTTTTAAACCACTCCAACTCCTGTTGGCTGTATCTGCACTGAGAGATGGTTACAGCATGGGAATGGGCCTGTTCCTCATTTCTCTGGGACAGTGAGAAGTTATTTTGTTACAGCATGAGTGTTGAGTTCAACAAATGCCTCTACAGTAGCTAATTTGGGGGAAAACAGCCAACCAAAGAGAATATCAGTGCTGAAATGTTGCAGCCTGTCTGCAAGCACAGACCAGTGTACTCCCCCACCTCAGCACTGTGCTGTGGTCTGTTACCTGATAAACTGGGTCAGTGTGAGTGTCATCTGTCATCCCTGTCCTCCAGATCACAGGGTCTTCTGTCCTGCTGGTGTCCCACACCACCAGCTCCCCACTGAAAAGGCCACCTGAAAGGACAAGGATAGAACAGCTAAGATCTGACAGCTCAGAACAAATGGAGCTATGGGGGGAACAGACCATGGGCAGCTCTGTCCAGGGCACAATCAGCTCTGGTGTAAGAGAATGGAGCTCTGCTGGAATAAGTACAGTCTTCTCTTAAGCCCAGGGCTGGATTTCCTTCTGTCATCTCATGAGATGATAAAAAAGACAGATGGCACTGAAGAGGTATCAAGTCCCTGTTCAGAGGCAACAGTGCACTTATCCATGTTGGTGAGTGTTAGTTCCTCTGTTTGAGGAGCTGTAACACTTGTTACTTCTGCAAGAAATGAGGCTGAGCTCAGCCAGACACCAAAGGCTCCAGGCTGCAGGATACAAGGGTGTGCTCCAGGCAAGGTCTGAGGCAAGAGCAACTCACCAGCTATCAGTGAGGGCTGGGAGGGGTGGAAGGCCAGGCACATGACAGAGCTGGGGACATCCACCACCAGGTCTGGGTGCTGTGGCTTCAACCCTCTTCTGTCCAGGTTCCAGGTGCAAACATAGGATTTTCCTGTGCTCCAGTCCCCATCATCCAACCTGAAGGAGAGGAAACTACATCTTGCCCTGTGTGTTGCACAGAGGATCCCAGACCAGCACAGGTCTGGGATGCCCCATGGGGCATGAAGGACAACTGAGGTGAGGGAACCTCTCTGTGGGCTGGTGTACAGAGTCTGTGCCAGGGTACATGTCTGTGCTCATGGAACAAAGTGCCAGCCTATAAGCCTGGAGGATGATTCCCTATTCCAAGACCTACTCACCATTCAGACAATGGGAACAATCAAAAGGGCACATAGGGAAAGTTCATGGAAGGGAATTCTGCTGAGGGAACCCACAGCCACCACATTCTAATCTGCAAACAGCTGTAGGCTGGGAGAGCAGAAGGAGCAACTAACATACAG